CTAGATCACAGTTCTCTGCACGAATGGGGAACAGGAACAGAGTCTAGCAGCCGGAAGTGAGAGCAGGAAGTAAGGGAGCTAGTGCAGGCTTTACAGCTGCATTTATAGTTTAAGAGACCATGCCCAAGTAGGCTGGTATCTTAAAAACTATTAGCCAAGGAGTGGAAGGAGTTCCCACAGCACCCTGCCACATTACTGAAACTGTTTATCAGCTGTAAGACTTCCCTCATCAAGTTTTTGGGGGCTATTATTGTATACTATCATATCATCTGCAAATTGTGAAAGTTTGACTTATTCCTTTCCAATTTGGATCCCTTTGATCTCCTTTTGTTGTCTTATTGCTCCAGCTAGAACTTTGAGTACTATGTTCAATAAGTATTGAGAGAGTGGACAGCCTTGTCTTGTTCCTGTTTTTAGTAGAATTGCTTTGAGTTTCTCTCCATTTAATTTGATGTTGGTTGTTGGTCTACTGTATACTGCTTTTATTAGGTTTAGATATGTTCCTTGTGTTCTCATCAAGACCTTTATCATGAAGGGTTGTTGGATTTGTTGAATGCTTTTTCAGCATCTAATGAGATGATCATATGTTTTTTTCATTCAGTTTATTTATATGGTGGATTACATTGATATGTTGAACCATCTCTGCATCTCTGGGATGAAGCCAACTTGATCATGGTGGATTGGTTTTTTTTTTTTTTTTTTTTTTTGATGTGTTCTTGGATTTGGTTTGCTAGTATTTTTGCATCAATGTTCATGAGGGAAACTGGTCTGTAATTCTCATTCTTAGTTGCATCTTTGTGTGGCTTGGGTATCAAAATAACTGTTACCTCATAAAAAGAATTTGACAATGTTCCTTCTGTTTCTGTTGTGTGGAGCAATTTGAGGAGTATAGGTATTAGCTTTTCTTTGAAATTCTGGTAGAATTCTGCACTAAAACCATCTGGCCCTGGGCTTTTTGTTATTGGGAGACTTTTGATGACCACTTCTATTTCCATAAGGGTCATAGGTCTATTAAAATTGTTTATCTGTTATTTATTTAATTTTGGTATGTGGTACCTATCTACAAAATTGTCCATTTCCTTTAAACTTTCCAATTTGTGAAGTACAGGTTTTTGAAGTATGACCTGATGATTCTCTGGATTTTCTCTGCAGGTGTTGTTCTGTTACCCTTTTCATTTCTGATTTTGTTGATTTACATATTCTCTCTGTGCCTTTTGGTTAGTTTGGATGAAGGTTTGTCTGTCTTGTTGATTTTCTCAAAGAACCAACTCCTTCTCTAATTGATTCTTTTTATTGCTTTCTTTGTTTCTATTTTTATTTATTTCAGCCCTCAATTTTATTATTTTCTGGCATCTACTCCTCCTGGATGAGTCTGCTTCTTTTTGTCCTAAAGTCTTTAGGTGTGCTGTTAAGTCACTTGTGTGAGATTTCTCCAGGTTCTTTATGTAGGCATTTAGTGCTATGAACTTTGCTCTTAGCACTGCTTTCAACGTGTCCCATAAGTTTGAGTATGTTGTGCATTTATTTTCATTGAATTCTAGGAAGTCTTTAATGTCTTTATTTATTCCTTGGCCCAGGAATGATCCAGTTGAACACTATTCAATTTCCAAGAGTTTGTAGGCTTTATGCAATTTGTGTTGCTATTGAATTAAGCCATGGTGATAAGATACATGGGGTTATTCCAATTTTTTTTGTATCTGATGAGATTTGCTTTGTGACCAAGTATGTTGTCAGTTTTAGAGAAGATACCATGAAGTGCTAAGGAGAAAGCATATTCTTCTTGTTTGGGTGAAATGTTCTGAAGATGTCTATTAAGTTCATTTAAGTAACGATATCTGTTAGTTCTCTTATTTATCTGTTAAGTTTCTGCCTAGAAGACCTATCCATTGGTGAGAGTTGAGTGTTGACGTTTCCTACTATTAGTGTAAGGGGTTTGATGTGTGATTTAAGCTTTAGTAATGTTTCTTTTACATATGTGGGTGCTCTTGTATTTGGGGCATAGATGTTCAGAACAGAAATTTCATCTTGATGGATTTTTCCTGTGATGAGTAGGAAGTGTCCTTCTCCATCTCTTTTGATTGACTTTAGTTTGAAGTCTATTTTGTTAGTATTAGGATAGCTATACCTGCTTTTTTCTTAGGTCCATTTGATTGGAATATCTTTTTGTAACCCTTTACTCTGGGGCAATGCTTATCTTTGATATTGAGGGGTATTTAAACAAACTGTTTAGTCCAGCTTTTTGGTAGCTGCTTCCTCTTCCATGGACTCTATTTGCTGGTGGTGAGCAGGGGCGCCACGGCTCCTTTAAGAAAAGGCTTACTAACTCAGCATAAGAAATGACAGCTTCCATGGTAGTGTTTGTGTGTTTCCCTTCTTTGGGGTTTGCTAGTGTAATGTGTGAGGTTACTTGTCTGTGTTTCTGTGGGTGCAGTTAATTTCCTTGGGTTGGCGTTTTCCCTCTAACACTTTCTTTGACACTGGATTTGTGGAGAGGTAATGCTTAAATTTGGTTTTGTCACGAAATAACTTGTTTTCTTCATCTCTGGTGATTGAAGCTTTGCTGGGTATAGTTGTCTGAGCTTGCATATGTGATCTCTTAGTGTCTGGCTTTCACAGTTTCCATTAAGAAGTCAGGTGTGATTCTGATGGGTCTGTCTTTATATGTAAAAAAAGAAAAGGCCTTTTTTTCATTGCAGCTCTTAATATTCTTTCTTTTTCTATATGTCTAGGGTTTTGATTATTATATGGTGAGGGATCTTTTTTTTTTTTTCTGATCCAGGCTATTTGGTGTTCTGTAAGTTTCTTATACTTTCATAGATAAATCCTTCTTTAGGTTGGGAAAATTTTATTCCATAATTTTGTTGAATATAGTTTCTGTGCCTTTGAGCTGGAGTTCTTCTTCTATCCCTATTATTCTTAGATTTGGTCTTTTCATGGTGTCCCAGACTTGTGTTAAGAATTTTTTGAATTTAATGTTTTCAAGTCTGCAACTGTTTGAGCTGTTTGCTTCACCTCTTTGATTGTTTTTTTTTCTTGTTTTTTTTTTCAAGAGATTTGTTNATACATTGTTTGTCTTTTCCTCCATTTCTTGAAGGGAATTTTTATTTTCTTCTTTAAGGGTCTCTATCATCTTCATAAAGTTATTCTGAAGGTCATTTTCTTCTGCTTCTTCTGTGTTAAGATGTTCAGGTCTTTTTGTTGTAGGACCACTAGGTTCTGGTGGTGCCATATTGGTTTTTATGTTGTTGGAATTATTCTTACACTGCCGTCTGCCCATCTTTTCCTTCAGTGGGTGCAGGTGGGGCCTGTGCTTCAGAGGGTCCCTCTTCCTCCAATTGGTGAAGGTGGGGCCTGTAGTTTAGGTGGTTGTTCTTCCTTTGGATGAAGGTGGGTGCTGATTAGCCTGTGGGGCTCCTCTACAGGGCAGTCTGGGCAAAGGCTCTGGTGGTCACAGATGTGGTGGAGGATGGTAACAAGTGTGTGGAGGCTGCTTGGCGTCACTGGGGCTTGGTGGGTGGGTTGGGGTGTTCCTTCCTGGGCAAGTGCCTAGAGAGCTGAGCCCTCTAAGCCAGGGCCCAGGTGCTTACCTCTCCAGGGACAGTCTGGACCAAGGCTCACCTTTGGGCTATTTTACAAGTATGTAAATTGTAGATAACCCATCACAAACAAAATAAATTTTTTTCTGTACTGTGGAAAGTCAAGTGGCACTGTTGATCAACGAGTCTTTGGATCCATTTAAAGACTTCTTTGAATGAGCAGAAATATCTGCCTGGTTCTTCCACTAACTAATGAATTAAATAAAACCTCACTACATTTTCATGGCATGTAAGTGACAATCATGAGTTTATCTCATTTGGAGGATTATTCTTTAACAAAGTAGAAAGGGAGAAAATCTAAATAATGGCTCCTGTGGAAGCTGTAACTGAGCACTGTTTCTTTGAATATTAAATACATCACTTGGAATTACTATTCTAAGCCCCTGGTCAACTCTTTTTAGTGGTGACCAAACAACTGATCATTTCAATAGTTGTTATTATGAACCATTTAAAAATATGGTGGGAAAACCATTATGGTTTTCTTCCTTAACAGAATGTTTCATTATTCCTGATAGCATTTTATTCTAAAAAAATGTGGGTTGGTTAGAGTTTATAAGACACTCATCTAGGATCTTATTGTAGAAAGTCTATAAATATTTCCTTAGAAAGTATTTTCCAAGTCCAATATCTGGTCTATTCAATAAGAAGCTGTGTGTCAGTGTTTGTGTGTCTGTGTGTGTGTGTGTGTGTGTGTGTGTGTGTGTGTATGAGAGAGAGAGAGAGAGAGAGAGAGAAAGAGAGAGAGAGAGAGAGAGGGGGGTTAAATACTATGACCTAAAGCAACTTGAAGAGGAAGGGCTTCTTTCTGCTTACAATTATAGTCCATTGTGAAGGGAAGTCAGGATTTGAACTCAAAGCAAGATGCTGGAGGCAGGAACTGAAGCAGAGGTCATAGAGGATTGTTGTTTACTCACTCACTCAGCTTGCCTTTTTATACAGAAAAGACAGCCTGCCCGAGGGTGGCACCTTTGACATCAGGCTGGGTCATTCCACATCAACCCTCAATCAGGAAAATATCCCCACAGACATAACTGTGGGCCAATCTGATGGAGGTATTTTCTCAATTAAAAGTCCTTCTTCCCAGATAAACTTAGCTTAAGTCAAGTTGACCAAAATCAAACCAAATCAATCTACCAAACAAACAAAAATTGCACAGTGTGCATGTGTTTGCATGTGTGTGTGTACACACGTGTATGTGTATATGTGTGCATGTGTGCGTGGCATCTGTGTATGTGTATGCATCTGCAATTATTCCTCTCTTCTATTTTCTCCATCAGGAGTTTTAAATTTTATTTGAATAATTAGATTATTATGTCTTGAATTAAATAGTGATGCATTTAATGACTTTAGTTTTAATAGGAACTTTTATTATTTGCCTAATTATTTATCATAAATGCAAAAGAATAAGTCATTATGTCTATTTTTCTCTGAAAATCAGTATTTGTATAAATTTAATATATTTCTAAATTTAGTGTCTCTCTGTCATTATTTCAAGTGGTCATAAATGGGCTAGGCATTCCTGCTTTGAAAATAGTCTCCATACCTCTTAAGAATAAAAAAGACATAGAAAAACTAAAATTCACCTTTCCTTTCTTAAAATATAGCCCAAGTAAAGGATGCTTTTAGGCATGGCTATATTGGAACAAGAGTGCTCCAAATGCTGACTGAAATTATACACTTCTCTCATCCATACTTGACCAAAAGATAATTTCAGGCATTGCTTCGGTTCCATGACTGCCAGCATCTGGAGGTCAGGACTGGGCGTGGCCAATCAGGGTGCTTCCTGTGAGGAGAACAGAATGCAAAAGAGTAGAGATTTGAAAATAATGCTCAAAGATGAGGTAGAATCACCCCTTTCCTAAGCATGAGCGTATTTTACATTTTTCATAACTGTTCTTTCTACTTCTTCTTTCAGAGTTGCCATCTGTCCTTAACAATCCATTACTTAAGTTCATTTGATCATCCTCTGTAATGTCTAGACTTGAGGGTTTGACCTTAGAAATTAAGAAGTCTTTCAATCCCTCATTACCTCATTTGTAAAATAGTGTTACAAAAGGATTTTTCTCGTCTCTTTGCATGGTTGTTTGATTTAGATAAAATTTGAGCATGTTTGGTCAAAAGGATTTTTTCAATTAAATCTGATGAAATAAGCCCTATCTACTCTGTGGTCGCTGTGGTTCCATGTAACTTATAAAGGTTGTGCAGCTGTGCAGGTAAAGGTCCTCACCTGATGGCTTGAGTTCATCACCTGGGACCAACATGGTGGAAGGACAGAACAGACTCTCCAGGCTCTTCTCTGACCTCCATGTGAGCACCCTGGAAGCACACTCTCCCACACTCACACACTTATGCACTCACTCTAAGTAAAAACATGTAATTGAAAATTCCAACAGAGGTGAACACAAGGGGTGCAAATACAATCTCCGTAAAAACAGGTCTCCAATGCGCATGTGCACGTGATGCATCCAATGTCATGCTGCTTTACTGAGCCTGGATCAAGACATCTAGGAGGAGTGAATGTGATCAGGGTGCATTCCCCAATAATCAATAAAAGCACAATGCTGGAAAAAAAAAAAAGTCTAGGATAGAGCCAGTGGCTCTGCACTTCAGCAGGTCTCAATCGATATCCAGTTCAGTGGCTAGGTCCCAAACTCTTGATGGGTCAACAAGAGGCAGAGGCTAAGAAAAACTAGGTACCCTTATATGCTCAAACTTATGGGAAACTGGAAAGTTCAGTGTTGGCCAAAGCACAGGAAAAGACTCGTGGTCTTAAATGATGGTGAGAATTCACTTCTGATACCTGAACTCAAGATGAAGCTTAAGATTGCTTTCATTGTTGCTAAGGAAACAAAACCCAGTGCCATCTGTCTGGTCACATGTCGGGATAAGGGCGCTCACCTGTGTAGGATTCCAAGTGATGGTGATCGACACTGCTTCTGGAACAGTGTATGAGCTGTTCAACCAAAAAGAAGGATGCTGTTTTGCCACTTGGTTTCCCTTTCCCATGTGCATATACATGCTGAAGCTTTGTTTGCTACCGTGTCTTTATCTGCACATGCCTTCTTACACGTGAGTCCATGGAGAGTCAGAGCATCTTCTATTTTTCTCTGTAGACAAACATGCTTTATGTTTGTAATAATATTGAAGTCGGTGTTTCATTTCATTAAACATCAATTAGGCTCCCGAGATAGTGAAGGCAATTCCTTCCCCCAGGCTGATCAGCTCTTGCTGGAAGGACCACGTTACTGGCTTCTCATCCCATGAGGTGTCTGCAGCAAAGGTACAGAATTGGATAAGGCCATCTTTACAGTACACTGACTTGTTAGGTGTCCCCTCTCTCCGTGACCCAGGCACTGTTCTTGCTCCTAGTGTCGTGATGACCTTGTACCAATTTCCTTGCTCAAACCCCATTCTGCTCTCAAAAGTGCCCCTTCTTTGTCTCCTCAATTGGGAGCTACTGTACCCAATCTGTCTCTAGAAGACTCCACTTTAACCTTGATGTCGTCAGCTGGAGAATCTGTTCCTTGTTGCCTGAAAGGAGCTGCTGGCTTTTTGGCTGGGAGCCCTCCCGGTTCTCATCTTACCCTGCCAGCTGCTCTCTTCCCTCTGCCCTCCTCTCTCTCCCATGCTCCCCAGGAGTCAGCTGGACCCTGCCTATCTTGAGCTCCGCTCCATTTCTGGGTACTCTTTGGAAGACTGCAAGCCATCCGCAGTGCAAGGCCCTCTCTAGATTGTTGTTTAACCACCCAAGGACAGTCCATTCCTTGCGGCTTTTTCTGTCACTGGTTTTCAACCGTTTTTTCCCCCCTCGCCCCTCAGCTTACAGATCCAGCTCTTTAAACAGCGATGTCTCGGCTCCCTGTGCAGAAGTTTTGGATCATATATGCTTTTGATACCAGAGTCTTGGACAAGAAAATGTTTATTGAAACATGGATGATAAACTAATTTGAGAACTTGCATGATGGATGCAAGGGGCCATTCAGCTCAAATGTTAATTGGGGCTTCTACTGGTATCTCTGAGGGGAAAGATAATTTTAGGAATCTGGACGAGGCTAACCGTTCTTTCCAGACACATTCCAGAGCTGACCACTGCCTGGAGCCTGCCTATTTTCCTGGGTCATCCTGATGCCATGGTAACTGCCCCCTCTGTTGCTATCCAGTCTCTGAGCTGCCAAATAAGACAGGATGGAGGGGAGAATGCTTCTCAGGACTCTTTACCTGGCCTTATTCTGCCCCCGCCCCCCTCCAAGAGGGAAGAATGGTACCTACTGAAGAATCACACAGACTGAAACTGAAAATTGAAGTTCATCTGAGGGAGGGCTTGAGGAATTTAGGTGTGTAACACAGCCCCTGACCACCCGTACCCTATCCTCAGTACCCCCAAGTTGTGCAGGACATGCTATCCAGCTTTAGCTTCCTCACTTCTTTGGCCAACCTCTAACGCTAGGAGGGCAGCCCTACCCAGCCTGCCTGGTTCTCTGTCCTTTGCCTGAGAAGATAATTCCAATTCTCTCCTGCAGACAGACAGCCCAGGTTTCCAGCCTTATTGGTGGCCGAGCCTCCGTATCCTGCTTCACAAACACTTCCCAGCCAAAAGCTTTGGACGTTGCTTCACGGGGTCAGCACTGATATCAGAGCACTCTATTCCTTCCTTCTACTCAAACCTATTTAGGCACTCCAAACCTAGCTATATCACCAAGAATGGTCGTGCTTTAAATTGTTTCCTCATTGTTGACATCTGACATACTTTAGCTTTGAGAAGTCCTAACTATAAACCAGTAAAGAGATTGGGCAGAGTCTGGCTTTATTTACCTGCCTCATTCCTTGCTGGCAGCTCTAAGATCAGCAGCAGCCATGTTTTTCTAAGGAGACAGAGCTGCCTGGGCTTCTGCTCCTGCAGCCCCACCCTGCCGTCGGAGGATTGTTCTGAGTTTCTTGTCTAGTCCTTCCTCCGAGTCCCAGAGGCTGTTCCTGGAAAGCTAAGTTCTCATAAATGGCACCCTGTTTTCTAGATGGTGGAAGAGCATGGTAAAAAGAATAAAGGAACAAAGAAAACTTAAGTAAGAGACTGAGAGAAGAAATTAAGCTAAATCAAAAAGCAGTGTATAGCCTTGATCCCCAGCACTCTTGAATCAACAGCTTGACACATTGGATTCTTATCTGTCGATGTAAGAAAATCTATACTTTCTTCTATTTCTATTGTTTTTTATGGTAAGGAATCAGCTAAATATTTTTCTATTGTCTTCCTTACATTTTAAGAATTTTTCTTTTAATAGTAAAATGTTATAATGGTCTGAATTTGGTTTAGTTTATGGTGTTGGTCTAGGACAGCCTCAGGGATCAGGGAAGACCATATTGGAGGTGCTGGAGATACAGAGGCATATCTGCTTGCCATGCTCATGGGCACTCTCCAGAACCACAGGTGTGAGCCAGATTTTTATCCCTTTGAAGAGTTCTGCTTTTGGATAACACTCCCTGTGTGATATTTGATCCTAGATGCAAGAACAATATTGACTGAACTTAATTTGAGTATTCTTGAAATGAACTTAGAGATGCCGAGAAATTCTTTCTCAGCCCAACCCCTCCCAAAGAAGAAAACTAAACAAGAAAAGAAGAGGACCGATTCACTCGCTGCTTATCATGGAGTCTAAAACACGTCTTTGGAGGGGGAAGGCATTTTGTGTAATTTTAAAAAAAGAGAAATTTCTCAGAAAAAAATTGAAACTTGGATAATAAAGAAAGTGGAACCCTTCTTTACAGCAACATAAACCAAAATAAAATTCAGACCATTATAATACTTGAGCATCAAAAGAAAACAATACTTAAAACAAGGAAGAATAAGGTAAATATTTAGCTGATTCCATTCCAGAAAACCCTCTCCATAGCAATGGAGACTATGGAGGAAAATGCAGATTAGCTTATGTAGTGATATAAAAATCAAATGTGTCAAGCTGGATTAGAAATAGCATTAGACACCGTATGTCAGATTGGAGGAACTCGCTTTAAATAACCTAAATGTCTGAGCAGTTTTCCCAAAGCAATATGAAAAACTCTTAAGACGTTCATTGATAAATCAGGTTTTTAAAAAGGATGAGGAATTCACGTGTGAATAAACTTTCAGTTCATGAGCAGTCAAAGAAATGCAAAATAAAATGATAAGGGTCTACCGTTCATATGAAAAGCTGACACTAAAACTTAGCCAAATGGGATTCAGGTGAGAGTGGAATGATATAGAAAATTTTATACTCTGGGCAGACAGTTGGTCTGATAGCTTCCAGTTTAGAATTAAGCATCAAAAAATTGAAATAAGTGAACATAATACACATGCACATGCACCCCCCACATGCCACACACTGCACATACATATATAATATTTGAGACATAGCTAAAGTTGCCATTTGTTGTAGCAGGCCACTTGTTTGTTCCCAGCTGCTCAGACCAGAAGTAACCACACAGAAACTCTATTATTTGCAATACTGTGTGGCCAATAGTTTAAGTATATTTCTGGCTAACTCATACATTAATCTAACCTATCTCCATTAATCTGTGTATTGTCATGTGGCTGTGGCTTACCAGCAAAATTTTAGCATATCTGTCTCTGGCGGCAGCTCCATGGCTTCTCTCTGACTCCACCTTCTTTCTCCCAGCCTTCAGTTTAGTTTTTCTTGACTAGCTCTTCTCTTTTGCCCTATCACAGACCAAGGCAGCTTTTTTATTCATTAATGATAATCACAGCATAGGGAGGGGAATCCCATATCACCTCCCCTTTTCTGTCTAAATGAAAAGGAAGGTTAGGTTTTAACTTTAACATGGTAAAATTAAGTATAGTAAAACAGCAACCAAGCAAGAATTATGGTTACAATATTTATATCTACCTTATATTTTATCATAACTAACAAAAACTATAATTATGTGTTCTTTAACTCCATCAAAGACTCCAGAAGGATATAGTACTACCTACGTAAACAGGAAGTGCAATGTAAGCAACTTCCAAAACTCTAGAATTGACAGAGACATCTCGCTACCTGGTCACCCAGAGTTCTTCTGTATCATTGGGGCATCCAATCTTCAGCCCACAGGCCCATAGTATCCAGCGGACTTTTCCACAAATCAGGGAATTTCAAAGACAGTCACTTTCTTCTGTATCCTGCAGAATGTCTAGCAGACTCTTTCATGAAGCAGGAACCACAAAGGACCATCTCACCTTTAGGCAAACTCATCAGTCATCTGCCCATGGGTCCTGCATGTCCATCTCACACACCATAACATCAAGCAGTCCAGGCAAGAACAGTTTCTTGCCCAAATGGCTAGCAAACTCCATAAGGAGCCTCTTCAATGCCCATCTTCCTCTTGAAGTAATTGGTGCTGACAGGAGCAGATGTGTCTCATTGTCATGAAAAGTTCTAAGTTATTAAAATATTTCAGAAAATGGAAACTAGGGTTTCCAATATGCTAGGCAAGTACTCAACCAATGAAGTCCTATCTTCACCACCACCACCCTGCCCCCGTGTATAAAAGGGGTAAGGAAAAATGCAGCCAAATTATAAAAGTTGGAACTAGCTAATAAATCATAAAAATCTGTGTGCCACACTAGTAGAGCGCAATATAAAAGTAAAACATATGAAATGAGAAAAATACCACTGATATAACTTTGTATTAAAAATAAGAAAAATAGGTCAACTTTAACAGCATCTATGTATTAGCTTTCTATTGCTGCAATGATAAATCACCACAGACTTAATGGCTTAATACTATGTAGTTGACTATTTTAAAGTCCTGGCGTGCATCTCAAGGTCTTGAACCAGCATCTGCAGAGCTGTGTTTGCTCCCAAAGGCTCGTGGTAGAATCCACTTTCTTGTTCACTCCAATTTGGTGGAGGGCATTCCCTGAGGTTGCTGGATGAGGGCCTGGGTCATTGCTCTCTGCTTTTAACCCACATGAGGTAACATCATGGATGGGAGAAGGCAGAAACAATGAAAAAGTTAGCTAATAGAGGGGAGCGCTGTGACATGCTGAGCTCTGGATGTGATATGGCTGTGGCCCACATCAACTCACAGTAGTTGTAGTCGTCTATGGAAGACCAAGTCAGTCAAAATCCCCCGTAGATGGGGAGGAACCGTGAGGCCTGTCCTTGGTAAAGGAGTTTTGGTCAGTTGATGGCTACTGAGGGAAGATGAGTCACTTTTTGTGGGGATACGGCCACTAGAAGATTGCTCACACTACAGAAGATAGCCCCACACCCATGAGCATAGAGACAAACCTAGCTGGACTCAGGAGGAATTTTAATAACAATAATAGCAAGAAACGGACATGAAATCAGGAGAACAGTGTGCAACAGATAATATTAGAGAGAAGCAGTGGTTGATAGATACAATTAAAATACATTGCATAAATGTAAAGATTTTCAGAAAGTAAGTAAAATATTAAAAATTCTATAATGTTCTTTTAATTTTCCTGAAGTCAGGAAAAATATCAACACAGTGATTTGGGCTGGGCTAACAGCCCAGCTAGGGGAACAATTAACACACAGTTAGGGACTGCTCTGTGAGTTTCCTCTTCAAAGGGGACGTCTAATGGGGGAGAATCCCCTGATAGTAATATCCTGTGGAATCTGAATGCCTCTTTCACTTTCCAGTGGGTATTTCCCATAGCCTTAGGCCTTTCTTGAAAGACACTGGTTCAGTGCGTGCACATTGTCATGAAGGATAGTCAGTCAACACACACTTGGAGATCTTTAATGTTTCATGGTGACAGGTATTGGTGGCACACAGCGGGTGAGGTCAGAAGGCTGTATTGGTATGTGTAGCTTTTTCTGAGACTAACGGATTATATAAACTAAGGGAAAATAACATTCTCTGACCAACACTCCAAGACTCTGCTCGGTACTGAATATTTTGTCTATTTTCTGTTCCTTTGACCCTAGGTCCTTATTGGGCCACGACACCATCATGCCTTTCCTTTCTCTTTATCTAAAGTGTATTAATACAACCCTCTTTTAATCCTAGAAGGTGTTTTCCCACCTACCTGGTTCCCACAGACAATGCTGCCTACTCTACCCCTCCGCTCTGCCACCCTCCTGTCTGTCAACACTCAACTCCCCATTCTTATCCCCTTTATTTTAAACCCACATGGCCAGAATGAATGCCTTACTGCAAAACAGAATACGGATGGCCCCCTTCCAGGAGAGCTTTCCCGATGGATGCTTTCTCCTTCCTTGTGGAACTTCTGGCTCCTCAACTCCTTGGTCTTGTGTTGCTTTGGGGATTTTCATGATTAGAGTGGTGGAGAGAAAGGGCAGACCAGAGAGCAGTCTGGAGTGAGAGTGTCCTTCACCCCAGAGCTGCTCTTTGCAGTGAAGACTCTATTCTCCCACTAACTCCAAGCCAAGCATCTGGGTTCTCACTGCCAACCTTAATAGACACTTCCGGTAGAGAGTGACTGTTCTAAGCTTGAGGGCCATTAACTCTAGCGTCAGTAAATGCAATGGCACTTCTCCCGGGGCCCATAAGCAGTCCATTAGGCCACACTCGGGTTACTTGACTCCTTGCCTGGCCACTTCATTGTCTTCAGTGTCGCTCTAGACTCATGTGCCTTAGCTCCGCGTTCTCTCTGCACTGTTCTTCCTAAGCTCCCGCAGGTAAACTCTCACCTTCTCTGCCTTCTGTCTCTGATCTTTGCTTGCTGAGAAAAGACATAGTCTACATTGGCTACATTATACATTATCATTCCTGTGTTGTACAATACCAATTGTTTGATTTTCAGCTTACTTCTTATAACGAGTAATTCAAATATGTCAGAATATCTGCACAGGTCCTTCACAATAACAATAATAGTAGTATTATGATTGCTGTGATTTTTTTAATTATTAAATTGTGATTGCTAATAATTGTACAACATTATTGTTGCCTGACAATACTATCAGCAAATATTGCCATTGTACTTAACCATATTCCACACCTAAGTATTTAACAACGATTAAATCACTGACTTCTCCCATTAACCTTAGAAGATAGGGAGGGATTGCTAACCCTTCCATTTATGAAGCCACAAAGTGTTTAACCAGTCCTTGGTGGTCGGGTGCTGGGTGACAGTCTGTGCTCTACTGTATCCCTTGAGTGTACGTCTACCCATTCCCATTCTCTCAGTGGACCATTTCTCTTCTGATGTCATGGAGAAAATCAAGGCCATGTGAACATGGGCTTTCTGACTTATCTTCTCTTTCTGTATTTTATCTTTTGGTCCCTAAGACCATTCTGGCTGCTTCACTTTAATCTCAGAAAATGGTATTTTCCTGGCCCATTAGGCAGCCCTGATGAGTTCTTGGGCCGCTCTCTCTAAAGAGTCACATTTGCACCAAATTGTTCCTGTTCATTCCTAGGATCTTTAGTTTTTCCTCCCTTGAGAGCCTCAGCTTTGCTAAGTGTTGGTCTCCCCCTCATCCTAAGAATGTCTGAGTCTCGAATATTGCATCTGGGAGAATGTGACTGTTCCTTTCTCCTTCTCAGGTCATGTCCTTGTATCCAGGTATCTGCTTTGAGTTCCAGGTCTTGCCTTGCCTTTCACTACTTTGGGCTCCTAATTGTGTTCAGGGAACGATTGTCCCAGTGGGTTGATTAGCTTGTCCCTGCCTTGTCTCCTAGAGGTGATTACATCCCCTTAGAAACAGAAACTGTGCATGTCTCCATCAATTAATTAGCCAGCTAATGGTTTCATTAAAGCATTTTTTTTTCGAATGCCTACTGTACATTAGCGATCCCGATCAGAATTAAGAACCCAAAATGAATGTAGCTGCCCTTGAATCTGGCCCTGGTAAAGGGTAGCTAGCTACCTGCAGTAACACAACAATGAGAGATTTGGGGGGAAATCTGGACATAGGCACTGTGCAGAAACCATTCTTACATCATTTAAACTTTAGGAAAAGAGACATATCCACAGTTTACTGATAAGGCAACTGGACCATGCAAAATATTTAAGTTTCCTGATGTTGTGCAGCTAAATATGAGATCATGTGCCTATGATGTGCATAGGGCGGATGACCTGAGAGCCTAGAGGACAGACATCTGGGGAGGAGAGTCACTCCACAGGGTTCATCAGCATCGAATTTGCATCTTGGAGGAGGAATAGGTATTTGGTGGACTGGAACATGATTCAGACCGAAGAGTCTCCGTGGCGTAATTCCAGGGCACACCGCTGTGAAGGAGTCGATAGAGTCATGCGCTTCAGCAATGCTTCTGCCCAGGAAATTCAGGGCATGAATAAGCTGAGAGTCCTTAGACAGTGACTGTGTGATAGAAAGGCTTGCAGCATAAAAACATTAGAGATTTCTGTTATGTTTTAATGTTTAGCAAAGGGCTGAATTGTTTAAACAATCTATCTCACACTGGAATTGCAAGTAAATGCGTCTCACAGGGTTGGAGCCAGAACCTGTGGCATTCCTATGAGCTGGAACAGTTCAGAGCCTTCTTAAATTCATTATTATGTAACTTTTCTTATTGTAGTTTGTGCATTTTCATCCTTGGGGATGAGGAAGGTGAAGTAATTTAAGACACTTCTTGGTCTGTTGCAGAAGGATCCAGAGACATCACAGTCTAAACCCACTCTTTATTCTTGTCCATTCAGATGTGCAATGGGCTGTGATAGATTGGAATATTCAGTCCAAGCAGCTATGGTCCTGGTTGAGGAGAGGGCAACATCCAGGCAAGGAACCTAATGCTTACATCTCTGCAGTATTACTGTGAGGATGTTACCCATAATCTTTACTAAGAGTGAGCTGACAGCTTTGGCAGGCCTAGGCTCAGGCTACAGAACTACTCCTGACTCCCCTATCCAGGGGTTTTGCTTGTCCTTTCCTAAGGCTCACAATTCAGACCTCTGTCTTTAGCTTACGGTAGAGAGAACTTGCCTTGCTGCTCCTTGACTTGGTCATGTCTTCCCAGACAGATCTTCCCAACCTGTGTTTCTGATGCCATCAGTTCCATGGGAAAGTAACTAAACCAGGCTTAATACGGCAGGTCACGTTAGGACTGTTAAAAGTCTTTAACTCATTACGATAAATTCTAAAGTCTCCAAGAAAGGGGGAGAATTTTAAAACTGTGTTGCTCTTAGAAGCAGCTTCTTTCTGGAGCAGTATTAGAGTGCTAAGTGTTCTGTCCAGCAGGTTTGGGGACATGCTGCGCAGTGCTCTTATAGCAAACAGTAACACTGTTCTTACTGACTTAAAATGCATGACGGTAAGTTGTGGCATGGCTAGGCCTTTTCCAGTTAGCTAGAAAATTATATATGGACTGTGCAACTAGTATTTCTCAAAGTTTTTTTTTAAATATCTTATGCGGTTCCTAGAATCTGTTACATGTTTTGTGGGCTACCAGTCTGAGATACTTCTCTCTGCCTCTGTCTTTCCTCATGTCTCTGCCTCTGTCTTTCCTCATGTCTCTGCCTCTCTCTTCCAAGCAGGATTAGCTTTCCTGAACCCACCACCGTCTCAAAGCAAAGGTGATAAAGTAGGAAATGCAAGTAGCTTATGCATCACTATGGGATGGGTTCCAAAGGCCCAAGTCCTTGGAGAAAATCAGAGGATTTCAAATTCCTTCAAAAAGAGTATCTGGGGGTACAGACACACAATCAAGAAGGACAATTCTACAGACCAGAATCAGATGATAAAGGAAAATACCGAGGGAAGGAGAAAGGAGTGCACAGAGCTAAAGCCCGAGGCAGATGAATGCAGCGAGGCTTGGAGGAAGACAACTGGGTGGCAGATGAAGGACAGGAACTGAGCGTGGCAGCACAGAAAGGTCTTCATCTTCCAAGGCTAAGTGAGACGCAGTAGCAAGCTCGGCTGGAGCTGACCTCACCTGTAACCTGTGTGTGGGTGACTGATCTAGGATCCAGGGAGCAGCATACTCCTTGGGCCAGGGTTTGGTATCCTCGAGAGCCTTCCAGGGAACTGTGGAGTGGGCTAAAGGCTGCTGTGAAGGCTTGGGTTTGAATTCCTAAACAACTGGAAGGAGCATACTATTATAAAAGGTGAGGAGAGTTTAAATGCTCTCAATCCTTCACTTTCCTAGGGCTGGGACTGCCCACAATCAGGTCCCAAGGTGAGCATCTATCTCCACACCAAATCTCTGGCTCTTGAGATGTCCTCATTGTAATACCTGCCTTTATAAAATTTGCCCAGCATCAGCCCATCATTCACGTCTTGATATTTGTCATAGTTAGCACACAGCATCCTCTACAAACCTGGTCCTCTAGTGACTAGGAAAGCAGTTAATAAAGCCCCATAGACTTTGGTACACAGGGAAAGGACACTGGTTCTTTGAACCGGCTCGTTATCCTCATCTGCAAGATGAGCCAGCTGCAGCAGAACATCCCTGAGCTTGGTCCAGTGCAGGCGTGCATGATCCCCCATCCCCCTGAACAGCACAGGCAGGCTTTCAGGCAGCATTTTTGGAACACTTACTTTTTCCATTCTCTTAATCAAGGCCGTATTCTCATGGACTGAAGGGCCTTAGTTTGTGCCTTCTTGAAAAGTGACATTATCTAACTTATTTGTTACTCAACTTATAACCCAACCATTCATTTACATATTATTGAGTGTTTACCATATCACTGGGTTGCAAAAACTAATACATGATCACTCTCTAAAAAAAGTTTAAGGGTGAATGCATTGATTCTCAATCTTTCCTGCAGCCAGGAAGCCCTGGTGGACACTGATAAAATCCTATTATATTAGAAGTCAATATTTATTGAGCACTTACAGTCTGCCAGGCTCTCTGCTTGTTTCAGATGTGGTTTTTATTCCTCATTTCTTTGATGTACTTTTCTTCCATTTACACATGAAGGGATGGGAACTTAAGCTCAAGTACCTGTGGTTAATGAACTTATAGAAGCAGGATTGGGTCCGGAGCAGCTCACAGCGAGAGCCTACGTTCTCTATCCCGGAACAATACTGGCTGCTTCTGAAGCTGGCAGCTAAAAGCCACACTGTACAGTGGCAGGTTCTGAGATTCAGTGTCACGTGCTCGACAGTCATTGTCTCATTTAATACTAACGACAGCTCATAAATGGCCACTTTCACAATCTACAGATAGCGGAGACATTCTTTACTTAAAAGGCTTAAATCACTAGCCCCAGGGTACCCATCTGATATCAGAGGGAGGTGAGGTTCAAAGAGTATGCCTGGACACACCTTCAGGTCCCCAGACTCCTTGCCAATAACCAGGGAGACAAGACTCAAAAGAAGCGTATTTATTAGCAGCAAGGGCAGTGTGAAGTCTAAGAGAATGGCAGAAATTGGTCCGTGGACTGGGGGAAAGCTCACCTGTGAGCTGAGGTTTGAAAGGGAGGAGGGACATAAGCCTAAAGAGAAAAGCATCACGGGTAGAGACAGAGAAACAAAAAGTGAGGAACAAGACAAGAGTGTCAGGCTAAGAAGGTGAGAATTGGGGCATTCCAGGTCCTGGAATTGAGCAAAGGAGTTTGAATGTCCTTTGGAGTGAGCTTCAGGGTGACTCACTGGGTTTCAGATAGGGGGTGTCTTGCTAGGGTGCTCTGGTAGAGGGATACTCTGTCAAGGAGTTCAGGGATGATCAGAGGTGTTTGGTGGTGGGGGGCGGCAGGTCCTACAGGGTGTGTGTTGGAGGAGTGGAGAGACAAGAAAGAAGAGTTACGTGATTGTAACCAAGGCTCAGTGTGGTGAGAGGCCAAGTTAGGGGGGGCATTAATTTGAGAGATGCTAAAGGGAGAAAGAGTGAAAGAAAGATATGGCTGTAAGCAACCCCCAAGCAAAGTCTGAGAAGTGGGGCCAGGATTCAGTTGTCCGGTGACCCCTAGGAGGCGGGGGAAGCATGACTGAAGGGGAAATGAGATGGCAAATGGCTCGGAGCTGAACTGCACGGAGAGTTTTTAGCTGGAAATGTTCCATCATCCCCTCTCTTCGCAAGGCACAGGGAGGCTGAAATGACACGGAGGGTTTACACTCCCGGGAGATGCGGACAAAGTGCTGAATTGGATTCCTACCTCGGAACCAAGCATCTTTCAGAAATGAGATCATTGAGCTGAGCCTGGAGGTGCACGCCTTTAATCTCAGCACTCAGTAGGCAGAGGGAGGCAGATCTCTGTGAGTTCGAGGCCAGCCTGGTCCACAGAGTGAGTTCCAGGACAACCAAAGATACACAGAGAAACCTTGAATCCAAAAACCTGAAGAAAAAAAAAAGGAAATGAGATCATCATATCATTGTAGATGTACTTAGTTCAGACACAGTCATTCTGGGTTCGGGTGACCGCTAACCTGTTAGGACAGGTGTCCTTATGAGAAGGACTGTTCTCTCTCAGACACATGCATAGGGTTACCATGTAGAGATGATGAAGATGAGGTCTTGTTGATACAGGAATGACAAAGATTTCCAGAAGTGATGAGAGAGAGAGAGAGAGAGAGAGAGAGAGAGAGAGAGAGAGAGAGAGAGAGATAAAATAGAGCCTTCTGAACCTCGGAAGGAGCCAACACTGAAGACATCGCAGAACTGTAGCACAGTGGATTTTTCATGTTCAAGATTCCACACTTGTGGAATTCTGATCTGGCAGCCCTGCCTAGCCAAAGCACCAAGTAACCAATGATGGCCCCTTCTCTGAGAAGTGTAAGCCAACTGACTTAAGCTGCTTTGAGATCAGGTCTATCCTGACCTGGGAGTTTGGGTGGCAAAAATCCCTGGAGTCATGGGAGAAATTCAATAGAGAAGGCCAGAGTTGGAGGAGGCCTAGCAGGGGGCGGGGTGGGGGCGGGCATGACACCTGCTGTGAGGTGCCTGGAGCCCAATGTGGCAATGGTAAAACCCGGGTAGAGCCTTGGTATCGGAAATACACCTGCAGAGGGAGTGAAGCTGGGAGAAGATGCTGAGGTCTGATTGGAAGAGTTCTTAGGACCTCCCACTCAGAACTGTTGCAAGCCATTGGTCATGAAGGTAGCTATAGTGAGGATAAAGGCAGGAGCCAAGGGCAGACGGCCACCTGGTCAGGCAGGAGGCGAGCAGGAGGTCGCCTGCTGTATCCAATACGGTGAAAAGTCTACACATACGGAGTCATCCGTGTACGCTAGGCAAATGCGAGCCTTGTGTTGTCCTGCCGTTAGTGACATCCGTTCTCACTGCCTCCTTCAGCCGTGAAATTGCCCCCTGATCTAGGAACGCCCGCCTGGCTGTCCTTGAGGTTCAGGAAATGGGCTGGGCTCCATGATGGCAGCGTTGGGTTTGCAGATTTCTCCTTTCCTTTATTTTATGGTCCAGGAGAGAGTTGTTTTATTAAGGGATTCAAGGAAGAATGGAGGAAAAGTCCACCTTTTAGAGTGGACTGAGTGTAAGGGGTAGGCTTGTCAGCCACTTCCGGCTGATGGTGTGTTTGTTCACTTCTGATACGAGTGAGCATGCATGCCTAGATCACCCCAGTGACAGGGCGGCACCTCCCATTCCTGGAGACCTTTGTCTCACCAAGTGTGCTCACCTGGATGTACCTCATTAGATCCTTGTAAGCCATTGAGATAAATTCTGGCACGAATTTGCACAATCCATCATGACTGTCGGTAAGAATTCATTTATTGACTCTGTAATAATTGTCATACATCCGCTTTTCAGCCCCACTGGGGATTACATTCTCATGCAGTAAGGAAATATGACTTTCGGTGAATTAAGAGATCTTTATGTAGTTTATAAAATGACCAAAAATGCTGGGCTGGGCACGTTATCTAAAGATTCAAGCAGATATCAGGCAGGGCCTCTTAGAGAGCTTTGACTGACAGGACAAAATGTACAAACGAGGAGTGATGATCCAGTAAGAGGCTTTTACCAGGGCAAATGTGGGAAGCAGAGCTGCTTTGAATGGCTTCGCTGATTGCTTTGGAATGTTCCCTGAAGAGTTCATTGAGCAGGTGGGGCAGAAAGGAATTCATCCTGCTGGAGGGAGCTGCTCTGCTCACCTCTCCACAGGGTTCGCTTGTTGGAAAGCGCCAAGGATTGCGGCTAGCAGGCCAGGGTGCCTGAGGATAGGAGGGGAGTTTCCTTGTTGAGCTTTGGAGGCTCTGTACCCACCCCAGTTCAGATAATACCTGGGGGAGTGGCAGGTAAAGTATTAGGAACAAAAGGTTCCCATACAGACGCCTAGAACTATCTTAAAATATAGCCTCACTTGGAAGGAAGAAGGGAGGGCAGGAAGGAGGGAAGGAAAGAAGAGAGGAAGGAAAGAAGGAACGAAGAAAGGAAGGAGCAGACATTCCTCCAGCTTTTGCGCACTGGATGATCTGGCTACTCAGAGTGGCCCACGAAGCAGCAGGATCAGAAACAATGGGAAATGCGGAAAGGTAGGCTGCCTGACATCACTGCAAGCCTCCGGGGCTTTGCTCTGTCTGAGGACACTCCAGCAGGCAAATCTAAACGACATCAGTCAGTAGGCGCTCGAAGCATAGTTTTACTTAAACACAGCAAGGTTGTTCATTTAACCCATAACGGGCCTAGTCATCCCCACACAGGCCTGCCCATCAGTGTTTGTTAGGTCTGCAGGGGAATGCGCGATGGTGCAGAGGCCATCCTGGGACTTCTGCCCCTCACCACCTTCTGTATGGCAGCAGGAGCATGGTTCTTTGCCTCAAGTTAGCTTGGGAGAAATTATCCTCAATTCTGTCGAGCCAGTAGGGTGTTGGGGACATGGAGGAGAATCATGGGCATTGCAGTTGGATGTGGCTTCAAATCTAACTTACCTCTCAGAGTCTATATCCATTATAGAATAAAGCCATAAAAAAGTGGGATTTTAGCTATCCTGTAGGATGGTTTTTTTTTTTAAAGCTTCTCTATTATTGTATACTTTCTAGAATCTAAACATATCTAGACAATTACTGGCAGGCACATTGAGGTTTTTTGTTTATTTATTTGTTTGTTGTTTTTTTGTTTCTCAAAATTCAAGAGCCTCACTAACTCCTACCACCTCTTCTACAAGTAGCATGAGGTTCAGCTGCGTCAGCCATTCATCCTCGTCAAGACCCGGCTTCCTCATGTGCATCATAAGACTCAGCTGATCCTTAGGATCCTGCCCGGGATGGGACTAGAGAATGCTTCTTATTCCTGCCAGACACACACACAGAGGGATGTGTTCCTCACTCTGTCTGTTCCTGCTCCCTCCTTACTTCTTGGGCTACCACTAAATGCACAAGCCAATTGTCTCTGCAACTAAAGCCAGTCGGCTTAGTATAATTCCCTTGGGGTACCAGTTCTTGCCCTACAAGTTGGCATTCTAGGTGAACTCCACACGGTGAGAAGTCCTAACCCAGCCCAGATGACTGATATGAAGAGGTGGTTCCACCAAGCATCCTTGGCTGCTAACACAGAGAGTGTGGCTGGGCTGCACCCTGTTCCCGAGACATGATAATCCCACTTAGAGACAACATAGAGATCTCAAGACTTAAAAGATGCCCAACCATGAGTCATTCTTCTTACCATGAATGTAATGAAACCTTGGAATCACGGCCTCATTCTTGGGGGGGGGGGGAAATGTCACAGTAACGTACACATTATCAACTTAATTTTAAAAGGCAGTTGTGAAATTCAGCTCAACTTGGCGCTGCTGGTTAAGCAATTTTGGCTTTGGCTGGGGGTTCTTGAGGTAAGCGGGTGTTTGCTTTGTGGCTGGGGCTGCTGAGAGGCACACAGCCAAGATGGTTAATCTGGGTTTTCTCTTTTTTTTTTTGCTGACATAAGGGGTTTACCTGAGTCACTATGGTCACCCCCGTACCCCCTCTTACCTCCTCAGATCCCCCCTGCTCGTCCTTCCTGAGGACCAAAGGCAAAACAAAAGCAAAGCCCAAGGAGAGCACAAGCCTACTGCTTGTTTCTTGGAGGTCCAGTGGTGAGGAAGGAAAGAAGGCTCGCTAGTTCATTTCCTGGGTGTGCTTGCTGCTTCTGGGAGTTGTCTCCTCTCACCTCTCTGCTTCTTTTCGTTGCTATCTCACATGACTCACAACTTTGCCTGTGCCGTCTGCGAGTCTCCGCTTCTCTGGAGCCACGTTCTCATTCTCAGAGACACTTCGTGGCACTGCTGTGTCCACCATCGTAGGTGGGAAGTAGAGCCCTGCTCTAGGTGGGAGCTGCTCCAGAGCTAGGCAGACCGCTCTTTCCACTCTTCCGCAGAGAAAAATTTGATTTATGTTTGTAGTTGTTCTGAATTTTGAAGAAACAAGTGATCAATATGCCCATAAATATTTATCAAGAGCTTAGCTTCATCCGCTGTACCAGAGGCGTAGACGAGCAAGGATCTCGGCAAGACTGCGATGTTAGGAGGAGAAGTTCCTGGGCTTCAGGTTCCAGAAAGAGCCTGGCGCAGCTCTAAGAGGAACAGCTGGGTGGGGTGGATTGTAGCCTAAGAGGCTTGCTGCAGAATGCAGATTTCATCCAAGTTTTGACTTAGAAAACAAGACGCGTTTGCCATCTCGCTCTTTAACACATTCCCTTGCTATCGTGTATGATTAACATGTCAATTAGCCTCGTGAAATGAAGCTGATGCTGCCCCGGAAAATACTCCATCTCTCCAACAGTCGGTGTGGACTGCCGTAGTCTGTTGACTCCAGTGGGAGGGTAGGAGGCCAAGAACCGAGAGAATCTTGACTCCACAATGTCCCATTCCCCGCTTCCCAGACATGTGCTTGTACTTGCAGACACACGCGACCCCTGTTCTCACTCAAAAAGAACCCCATTAGATTTCAAGGAAACATTTGTGCTCTGTCTTCAATAAGTTCCTACTGTGTAGGAGCAAGATGACCATGTGATCAACAACTAGTACCTGACTCATTCACACAAGGAGTCCCCGAGGACCAGTTTGGACATTTGGAGCTGTTTCTCGCCGTAGAGTACCGGCGCTGAAGAGGGTTCAGAGAAAAAAAAAAAGATCAACGCCAAGGGGAGAAGGGAAGCAGGTAGTAGAGTTGAGCTTGTGGGAAGCTTCCTGTTGATGCCGGACCAAGTGCATTTGTGGTGGCTGTCAGCAAAGATTCCATGGGTGTAAGGGTGTAAAGACAGGAGCTTCTTAACCTTTCTGAGAAGTCTCGGCCTGAAGGAGCAAAGGCCAGCATCTCAGAAAGGGATGCTGTGGATACTGAGCTCCAATTCTCCTTCGTGGTTCACTCTCGGCAGAGGAAGGCTTGGCAGACGCTATGGCTTTGATGTCACACTTACCTCATCTTCATGTCACAAGAGCTCCTTCTTGCACTGTAGCTTCTCTGTCTCCTCTCTTGGCCAACACCTCCTCAGGCTTCAATCCTGCTCATTTGGTCTTTATTTACTCTACGAGTCCATTCTCTGAGGCACCTGTGGTGCTTGGCGTCACTCATTCCCTCTAGAAGAAGCAAGAGACCCATTGTTTTGCTCCCAAGTACAAGAGATTGATGCTAGGACTCTTCTTTCTCTCTTCAACCATCATCTACTCCAGGAATGAAGTAAGAGCTGGTTGCGTGGATTATAATAATCCCAGAATAAACATGAGAGAAAAAGACTGGCCTGTCCTGGCACAACATAAGAAGATGTCTGGAGTAATTACTGAGATTGTTCACTTCTGGTCTTTAAGTAGAACCATGTCTAAGGAGAGTAACAGTAGGTGGCGAATGTTGGTAGGGTCTTCTTCCATAACTTCCCTCTACCCACAAGAATCACCCTATGGGGCAGCTGCACTTTAACATACAGAAAAATCCCATGGGAAGAAGAGAAGGATGGACCCTTGTTCCCTATGTTGAGCCTGGCCATGAGTGGGAGGGAAAGGGTCCACCAGCTTCTTCCAACCCTTCCCAGAGTCCTTGGTCATGCTTCCTTGGCCAGCACTGCAATGGCTATAATTATTTTCCTTTTGCATACCCTCCATGTAGCTATACACTCCCTGAGGGTGCTCTGCTTTTGGAGCCCAAGTCATGGAAACAGAATGAATCCAAGTTGGATGGAAGCTGGAAAGGCATTCCCCCCACCCCAGAACACGGAAGACTAGGTGCACACGCACCTGATCCTTGTTCACTGCCCATAGCCAATGAGTGAAGCTTTGTCCAATGCTGTATTGTGAGCTTTGAAGTGACATAAAAGCCCAAGTTAAGTGTGTCTGGAGACTCAACTATATACTCTTTGGTATAAGCTAGATTACTGTGCTCTCCTGCAAACTCAGAGAACTGGGATACTTAAAAGACAGTTTTCAGGGTTCCTCCCAAGCTCTCCTTTGCATCTAGCTGCAAGGCCGTGGGCTATGGTTTTGCACTGTGTGTTAGTTTCCTCTACCCTGTGCTGTGATTGTTTAGGGTGGGGGCAATATGTTTCCTATATTACCCATAATGCTAAATGCTTTGTCTTGTACATAGAAAGGATCATAAATGCCTGTGAGCTGGATGGACAAATAGAGAATATTATATAAGAACCATTTCACAGCTGGGTGTAGCATCAACCCCCTTTAATCCCAGCACTTATCTCTGTGAATTCTGGACCAGCCTGGTCTATGCAGAGAGTTACATGACAGCCAGAACTGCTACATACATAGAGAGAAGAAGAAAAAGGAGGAGGAGGAGGAGGAGGAGGAGGAGGAGGAGGAGGAGGAGGAGGAGAAGAAGAAGAAGAAGAAGAAGAAGAAGAAGAAGAAGAAGAAGAAGAAGAAGAAGAAGAAGACGACTTGCTAATAGCTAAGGCTTTAAAGAAAGACACCACCCATGGTGACAGAAACAAGGAATGGGGAGGGTTTGGGATATGGAGAATGTGGGGGTAGAAATGCAGTGGGCCCCTAATGAAACCTTCCTGGGAAGGAATGTGAGCAGAACGTGAAGTGGGAGCAAGCAGGAACTCGGGCGGGGTGGAATTGAGGAGACGCTCGAGGGGGCAATGAAGTGGGAAGCAGGGGGCGTTAGCAAGGAGCAGAGGATACACAGGAAGATTACATGGGGCAAGGCTGAGAGGCCCAGAAGGAAGGGCTGCTGCCAGCTGAGAGGTAGGTGCCATTAAAATGTATAATGGACCCTCGTTCTCAATAACGATGGAGTGGATCTCACCATCTCTGAGAAAAGTGGCGACACCAAGCTAGAGGCAAATTCTACGAAGAATTTCCGTGGCGTGTCCTCACAGCCAAAAACCATGGGTAACGCAAAGCAAGGGACACCTAAAAATAGCACTTAGAATTTTATCCCACAGATAAGTTTTCCCTATTTCTTTTGGAGAAATTCTTCACGTTTTAGAAAAATTGGGAATAGTGAATGCCAGCGTTAAGCCTCAGAAAGGAAGTTGCGATTTCAGTTTCTCACTCTGTCACCTTTTAGTGGTATAGCTTGGCGCAAATTGCTTAATATCTCCAAACCCCAGATTCCTTATCTGTAATGCAGGAACCATTAAGATGCCCTTCTTGTGATTGGGGGGACGGCTGCTGAGCTGCTGCAAGTGGCTGGGAAGTGGCTGTTGAGAACAGCAAGCTTACTCCACACTGCTCTCTTTCCCACAGTCTCACGGTTGGGGGGTGGGGTGGGACCTGATAAACTAATTTTTATGAGACAGCAGAAGGGAAAATGCAAAATGATGTAGCTTCCAATTGACTCTGTCGCTGATTGTTGGCTAACTCTGGGCCAAGCGCTGGTCTTTAATGAATGGGAGTATGAAACTTATCAAGATTAATGACTGTCACAGCTGGTAGCCAGATGTTTACATGATTCCCCGTGTTTCGTTGCAAATATATCAGTGGAAAGGGTTGAAAGATAGAATTAAGCAAATAAGTGCATTATTTTGAAAATAAATAAGTGTTGTTTTGGAGGGTAGGAGATTAAGAGCCTAATGTATCTTGATTAGGCTAATATTAAAAATTAACATTCATAAGCCGGTGATCTAAATGAGGTATTATTCAACAGGAGTCACTTGCGGAGGGGACTGATATGGGTGTGCGTGCTTATGGCGGCGAGACAGCCAGTGGTCGGGTAGCCCCTAGCTGTGCAGCGCGTGACTTCTCTGGCCTCAAGTACGAAAGGGCAAATCATTGCGCTTAATCGAGGAAGGCTAAAATGATTTTGCTTTGCACGTACATTTAGGTTCTGTTTTGGCATCATAACTATTTTTGCAGCTGTCAGAATTGTACGAAACCTAATAGGGAAGTAGATTGGAATCTAGGCTCGCTCAGTACTTTGCAGAGGAGTCCAGTAAATAAGAACTCGGTGACTGACTGATCTTCTTCATGTCACTGCTCCTAAGCTCCAACTCTTGAGTGAGTGGGGAAAAGGTTAATTGGTTGGAATAAATTCATGGGAGTTTATTTATTTATTTATTTATTTATTTTAGAAGCAGCCTGAATGTGAGTGATTACAGCAACACAAATGGATGGAGGGCAGGGCTGTGAGGAGACAGCTTTGGCACACATGATCATCCTGACCCCGGGAGGAAGATGGGAGAGGCACTGCCCACGCTGGTCTTGAATAGTCAAGGGGCAGGGTCAGAAGTGACCACGCTGTGCAGGGAGAGAGCACGGATGGATGGCGTGGAGCAGAGCTCAGAAGCTCCAGTAATTACATTTATTTCCCCGACTTAGAAGGGGAAGAGGCAGAAATCTTTAATAAATAAATAAATTAATTAATTAATAAAAAAATAAAGAAAGTCAAATCACAAAGCTCTGTAGTAGCGCCTCACTTCCCCCTGCAGTGACACGAGGCCAGGGATTATCCACAGGGCACCCACAAACAGCATTTAAAACTCAGAACCCACAAACGCCCGTGTAAAAAGTCCTCTCACAGAAACTTGTTGATCCTGTCCATGCCCTCGATGACCTGCTAATCCAAAACTGCATAGAAACATTTAAACAGAGGAATGTGATGGGCAGAGGCCCTGACCTCCCCACAGACACTGAAGCCCCAATCCTGGAGGCTCTGCATACATTTATGCCCCCTATCAAGGGAGGACGGAGAAGCAGAATCGGGGTCACTAATCAGCCGACCTTAAAAGAGGAAAATTTCCTTACATTTTTCTACGTGGGTTCAGTCTAATCACAGTGCTATTTAAATAATGGACGAGGAGAAGGCAATGTCAGAATGAAGTGGCGTTCTGAGGCAGGGTCTTGCACTGGGGAGTCACACTGCTGACTGAGCCATATTCCAAGCCCCAGTCTTAACGTCTGAAAGAAAAGTTCATTGGCAACTTCCATTTGACTTTCTTAAGAACCACGTATCCTGTGCCGGTGAGATGGCTCCGTGAGGAAAGGCGCTGGCCCCCACGCTTGAGGCGACCTGAGTTCCACCCCTAGGCCACAAGTGCTGGAAGAAGAGAACAAACTCCTCCAAGCTGTCCTTTGACTTCCACAACTTACAACTCCTCCACTGACGGGCTACTATTCTACTTCCAAAGGTTTTCCTCTGGAACATTCTAGCAAGCTTTGAAAGAAGCTAGGGTCACTTTCCGGATACTCCCTCCTGTAAGCTTGTGAGGAGGCGGCAGTATCAGAATGGGAAGTGACTTCTACTGATGGATTCTCCCTGCATCTAACTTCGTTCCTCCACAGCTCTCTCCAAACCTGAGCTCCAGAGATTTCATGCCTAGAGGTGCAACTAGAACATGACCTCGTGTTCCCCTTTGTGCCCTGCCAAGCCCTCCCATGTGCCCTCCCACGTGGCTTGCCCACAGGACCACCCACAGGTAGATAACAACCTACTGGGAAATTCCCAGTATCCATCACGGCGGTGAATACTGCCAACACTGGTGGCTTGTGGAATGCCATTTTTCTGTGCCCTTTCAATACACTAGCAGAGTGATTCTTGTGATCACTGCCAATCTGTAGAAAATTACAGGATGGATTTTTTGTGTGTGTGAAAGACTGAATTTACATAGCTTTGTCTTCTGTTGCTTATTGGGACTGGGGGAAGATGCTGCCTTTTATACACAATTTGTGTGGCTTTATTGGAGGTCACTGGATTAGATTCACCCTGCTCACTCACTGGCCTGGAATTGTTCTGCGTGTGCTAAGGCTTAGCAT